GGTTGCTGTAAGCTGTGATGCCACGGCACTCTACCCAGGGTGACAGCTTGAAGCTCTGTCTCAAAAAAAAAAGGCTCCCAGTATCAGTTGCAATACTTGGGATTACAGTTTGAGACTTGGGAAGCTAAGGCAGGAAAACTCTCATGTCTAAAAAAAAAAAAAAAACAAGAAAAATTAGCTGGGCATGGTGGCATACATCTGTAGTCCCAGCTACGAGGGAGGCTGAGGCACAAGTTTCACTCGAGCCCAGGAGTTTGAGGCTTGCAGTAATCTACAGTTGCACCACTACACTACAGCTTGGGCAATAGAATGAGACCCTGTCTCTACGTAGATACATACATATTTACACAAATAAACAAATAAATAAATGAAATGAACGAACGCTCTCAGGTAATGCCAGGGTTTCTGGTCTGTTGATATTTGAGAAGCAAAGTTCTACAGAACAGTCGCATTTTTGTTTGTGTAAAGATTATTTAATCTTTGGAGGTAGAATGTTAAAAGTAAGCTTTCAATTACTTATCAGTCACTTGAAGACACTATAGATTAAACTCAAAGTCCTTTATAATCAAAATTAATAACTCCTTAATAATCAAAACTTGATTATTGCCTAGAAGTGTATAAACAGCCCAACTAGAGTAAATTTCAAGTATCTGTTTGGAATTAGCTACATAATTTGCTCCCTTATACCAAACTAAAAAATGGCAAGCCACATGTATGTGATCAGACATATGTTACTAAAATGAAAATACTTTAGGATGTAGATTTTATCTCTTAAAATTTTACATTTTTTTTACTATGTTAAAATGTTTTATTTGACATCAAAAGTATTTCAGATTGAGGCTTCAACTTGGTGGCTTATGCCTGTAATCCCAGCACTCTGTGAGGCCAAGGCAGGTAGACAGCTTGAGCTCAGAATTCTGGAATTCTGTTCAAGACTATCCTGAGCAAGAGTGAGACCTCGGCTCTAATAAAAAATAGCTGGGCATTGTGGCAGGCACCTGTAGTCCCAGCTAGTTGAGAGGCTGAGGCAAGACGATCACCTGTACTCAAGAGTTTGAGTTTGCTGTGAGTTATGATGCAACGGCACTCTACCAGGGGCAAAAATGTGAGACTGTCTCAAAAAAATGTTTTCCAGGTTAATACAAAAGTACATATAATTAGGTTACATAGTTTGTTTTGTTTTTAATTGTGCTAAGACATTTATATTCTACATTTAGAAAGATTCACATGTACCCTTTTAAGATGATCCATAGGTGTGGTCCCATCTTCCTCCACTCATAGTCCCCCCTCTCTTCCCTTCCCTCTCCCTTTTCCCCATATTCTTGGGCTATAATTGGGTTGTTTCTTTTTTTTTTTTT